CATTGAGAGGAAAGGATCTCCATTCCCTCACTGGCAGGCGGACGAAGATGAGGATAGCAGTATTAGCAGCTCTGAGGGTTCCAACTCAGGAGAGTCAGAGATGGCGTGGAGCTTTGGAAACTTGGATAAGTTTAAACCGATCAAGAGAGAAGACACAGTGAGAAGAGCCAAAGACACAATGTACCCTAAAAGAGAAGAGGAGTTGAAGAAACGAGCTAGTAAAATACTCGATTCTGGAAGCTTAAGCGATTCAGCTGCTCCGTCTCCTGTACAGAAAGGCTTTATGAGACAGACCATCGGACCTTTTGGGGTCAAAGAAGCATCACCTCCAAAACAAAAGCTGGAATCTACTGTGACAACACCTTTTACTGCCATACCGGGCAAGAAAACTGACCAGCTATCAAAGGCTGAAAAATTTGGCACAATATTAGGCACTTTACGGAAACCCGGGCATCATATTGGGCCTTCCAAAAATCCTGATTGTTCTTGCTACAATTGTCGTCAGTACTTTGAAGAGCTTGGATATCGGAATAGAACGAGATCTTTAGGGGATATGCCTAGCAAGAAGGATAAAGATAAATGGAAAGCGACTTTAGATACATTGAAACAAAACAAGTTGAAAGAAGATTCTGGCAGTGGAGAGTGGGATATGGGAACTGAAGTATGAAGACTTAAAAACACATTTTTTTCAAAACAGCTTTACTAGCTTTTTTGTACACGTTCTTGATAAAAGACTGCTACGTTTAAAAAGACTTATTTTTTTAGAGACTTTCAATAAAATATTATTCCGGTAAGGTTTTGATTACAATGCTGAATTTTTTTTACAACATTAGCAATAATGAAGAATATTTTAAAGCTTTATTTACTTAATAACATTTTTATTTATTTACTTTTGAAAAATTGGTATTTAAATGGTTTAACTCTTGAATATTAACCTGATGTCACCATTTAATGTGTAAGGAGTACAGAAAAACATTTGTTGATGCATTTTTGCTGGTACTGTATATTTCTTCTTGTATTGGTACTCTCTCAAAAAATGATCAATCAATTTTATAAATACAAGACACCATTTCAGAAAACTGTAAACCAATCACTGCATTTGTTACAATTTGGTAACATTATTATCACTCTATTCTTACATTTGCTAAACAGTATTGTATTTGTCCCTACCTATCTCTGAGGTGTTTGTTTAAAAAAGTCGCACTGATTTCTGTAAAACTAAATTTGTATTGTAGTTTTGTTGTTTAAAGTCATAAAAACCTTTAAGAAAAGTGCCTTAAGTGAAAATTTACTAGACTAGTCACCCATAAGCATTTTTGTACTTTTATATTTTTTTGAATTGCTCAAACCTACAAAGTGCTCAAACAAGTTGTTATACTCTATAGATTGTTGGTTGGCATGTTTGAGAGTATTAATGTAAACAAGTCAATAACAACCCTACACTACTCTTTAATTAAATTCTATATTAAAGCTTAAATGGATCTACCCTTGTCCATTTCTTCAATTTTTAGTAAATAATAACTTGGAATATTTTTAAGTTTCATTCTATGCTATTGCTTTTATTACTCTTTTGTACTTTAAAGTAAACGTTGCTTAGTTATGAAAAATGTACAGTCCCGAATTACAGGATTTCGGCCCATCAACTCAAATCAATAATAGTTTGATGACATTATTTAGTAGCCTATCTTTACAAATAACAGTTTATAATTGCACATTTATGAATGTGGGGCGTTAGTGTGACATAGTTATTCTTGAGATGAAATTGAAAATACCTATTGAAAGAAAACCATAAAATAAAAGACTAAAATGTTCACTTTGTTTCAAAAAATGTTTTATGAGACTAAGAGAAATTCCATATGAGAAATTATTATTTTGTATTTTGTCAGACAATAAAAATTAACTACATTAGTCATATAACCAAGAAACAATCCTGTATTCACAAAAAAAAAAATACAAATTGATTGTGATTAATCTTTTATTGACATTCCAAAAGGTAAAGCAGTTACAAACTTACTCCTGCTTTTAATAATAGCACATATTCATGCAAAATTTGATACAATAATTCTAAAACATGGTTCAAAATGCTATATTGAACAATGTTGAATTCTTGCTATTATTTTCTACAATGTGCTGGTTGCAAGGAGCAATTCAGTTTAATGTCTAAAAAGAAAATTTCTGTCAATGTTACCTTTTAACGTTTAATGTTACCTTATTACCTATAATAATTTATAAATTTGCTTTGAAAGAAGATATATTTTATATCTGTAATCTTATTTTGATTTTGTTTTTTAACTCTCAACCTATTTGCTACCGTAATTTACTTTTATTTACTTTAGGTTTATTTATCTTCTTAGAAACCTAGGTATACCATTATATTTTAAATTTGAATTGTAATTAATACTCTTCTTGATGCTTTTAAAACTATTTAGCATTTCTATGTTGTCTTATAAATAAAGTTTTAATGTTGTTTTCACTTGTCTTTATAATTTTTCTTTATACCCTACACAATGTGTTATTGGTTACCCTGGAAGCCTCATAAAGGTTCATTAGGTACAACATTTATTTTAACCTTACCCCAGGATTTTATTTTCTTTAATATCAGATATCGGAACATCGCCGTTTGATACAGAATTGCTTCTAATGTCACGAGAAATAATTTTTTAGCTTGTATGTATCACAGTGCAAATATAATATTTCATGTTTTAGAATGGTTCCAGTTAGTGTAAAATTATATAAGGCATTCCAAGGCTGTTACTGTCCTAAAATAGTTTCTGTTACTGAAGTTTTGCCAAGAAGCAAGCTGGTTTTGTGGCCTCAGCCAACCAGTTTCATTTTGACTGTGAAATCATCTCCAGTGCGTAATTTAGAGTTATAATTAGATTATAGTGGTAAGGATTTTCCAAATTTACTTAATTTCAATTTATTTACAATAAAAATAAGGTTTCACAGAATTTATCATAAAACAATGTTGTTTATTTCCTTTTCATTCTACTTATCCCAGTTTCACATGAAATCTATTTTAACGACTTTGGTATGTGCTTGCTATAAATGTTTATAGTTCTTGTGTTTTCATAGTAATGACAATAACAACCCTACAATTTTCTTTAATTTGGTTTATTTCAGTCTGCTTTGAACTTTAGTTTTATTCTTTGGGGTAATAGTTCTCATGTCTCTGACGTCTTAGTATTACAAAAAAGGTCCTACATATAATGTCTAGGGTTGATCCTAAGGAACATTGTAGCCCCATTTTTATTGATTTTAATATTTTAACTGTTATTACATACATCTTAAATGTAATGTTAACTAGTTTTAAGGATTTGGACTCCCATCCCACATGGAGTGACTATCATGATTTTGAGACTAGAAACAGGCATCAATTTGATATACCCCATGTTCCACTGAGTAAAACAAAAAAGTCATAAAATTCTGAGCCTAATATGTCTAAATAAATTGCCCAACAAATTTCTATCGCTTCCTTACAACGTTTTTAAAACTGAAATTCATATGTGGCTACTGGCTAGTAAAAATAATAACCATAAGATGTATGGGATTGATTATGGGAGTAATGAATGGTTAAACAAATTTAATACTGCTTAGTTTTGACAGTTTTCAAACTGCAAAACGGTTATTTTATTTAATACAAAGTTTAAAATGTTGGTCCCAAGACAAATTACTGTCTAAAGTCAACCCAAGGAACTGCTTCTTTTATTTCAATTGCTTGTTTTTGTTATTATTTTAATACCAGGATTGGAAATGATTTTGTTTTGTTTTGAATGTGACACATTTAGGTTAACTTTCATTTAATTTTAAATCGTAATCATAAAAAAAATCCTTAATATAAGCTGTTTCTGTTGTGGATAACAACTCTTCATCTTCTGTACTTTTCCCAGATACTTTTAGGTATGAGTCATCTGCATAAAGATACAGAACTGTATGGAGAAAAAATAGAACGTGTAAAATTTGTTAAGTAACAAATGAAAAGCAAAGGTCCTTGAGGAACACCTGAGTTTATTTTGCCCATAAAAGTTCTCACAATTATTTAAGATAAATGCCCTATATACAGGGTGTTTTTTTTTTAAACTTGCATCTTTACTTATGTAAAAACCGCAATAGATAGAAATATGCAGTTTGCGGGAATCATCTATTGACGTAGGGAGCCCAATTTTTTTGAATTCAACGTTACATTCACATTCCCCCCCTTTCCCCCTGCCTCCAACTTATTTTTTTTAAATAGCAAGGTACCCCTTGTGACATATCAAATGAAAGAGCATAAAAAAAGAAAATGTTTGATGAAAAAAAATTGAAAATTGGTTCATAAATTTGTGAGATATTCCCCCCCTCCCTCCCTGGAACTTAATTTTTTTTTAATAGCAAGGTACCCCTTGTGATGAAAGAGCATGAAAAAAGAAAATGTTTGGTGAAAAAAATTGAAAATCGGCTCATGAATTTGTGAGATAATCTCCCACCCCCTTTTCCCCTACCCATAACTTTTTTTTTAATAGCAAGGTACCTCTTGTGACATATAAAATATAAAATAAATTTCACTAAACATTTTATTTTTTCATGCTCTTTCATTTGATATGTCACAAGGGGTACCTTGCTATTTAAAAAAATTAAGTTGGGGCAGGGGGTAAAGGGGGGGAATGTGAATGTAACGTTGAATTCCAAAAAATTGGGCCCCCTACGTCAATAGATGATTCCTGCAAACTGCATGTTTCTATCTATTGCGGTTTTTACATAAATAAAGATGCAAGTTTTAAAAAAAATCACCCTGTATTATTTTTCTCACAGGTAAACCAGTAAGTATGTGTGTATATGAGTCTGTGGCTCATGTTCTGGCTGATTTTCAGCTGTGTTCTATCTATACATAATGTCTCGAGTTATCTCAACGGGAGGGTAAATCTGGACAATTTCAGAGCCGACTTTTTTGAGAAAGAGTAGTATTCTTGTGTTTCCATTCAGTCTTCTGTTGACTAAAACCATTGTATCTGTCGTTGCAGGCACAAGCGTCGCTGTCCGAATCTTCTCGCAAGCTTGATCTGCTGCGATGTTCGCTGGAGCTGCGCCACAAGGAGTTGCCGCCGGACTCGGCTGCGGCGCAGCAACTCAAGGCAGAGATACAGAGTGTCCAGGCTACCAGCCCTGGGCCTGTCACCTACACTAGTCTGCAGCCCTTCCCTCGTCATGATGCCGCCAAGCCTGCCTCCAGCAACCCTTCTAGCCTCAGCCGCACAGCTGCTGTCACTGGCAAGCTGGAAGTCAGGTGAGACCTCCCACCAGGTTTCTGAAACTATACAGGAAATGCTTGAGCGTAGTAATCTGTCTTTAGTGATTAAATTCAACCCCCTGTGACCATACCCTTTTGGTCCGTTTGGTAGTGATGTACCTTTGAGGTAAACATTTTTACTACTCATAAGAGACATCCCATTCCCATAATATCAAAACTAGCAACCCTAGATTTTGTATAGATGAGAAGTCAACTTCAGGATCTAACAGTCAAAAGTACTTTTCACATTTGCAATCCAGTGGTGTTGGCATATATGTTTTACCATCTTAAAAGACCTACCCAACCAAGAAGTTAAAATGTTGATATATAAAGATATGTGTAACTATTTCTATGTCTTTACAACTAAGAACAAGTACAGTTCTTTTACAATAGTTTTGTATGTTCTATTATTCATGGTGTTTGTTGTAAAGGCTGATGGGGTGCCAGGACCTGTTGGAGGATGTGCCCGGAAGGTCCAGGAGAGAGAAGGACAACTCGTCCAGTCCAGGAGATCTGAGGTCCTTTGTCAAAGGAGTGACAGGCCGCAGTTCCAGTAAGAGCTACAGCGTCAAGGATGAAACTAGCAGTCAGTAGTTAAACACTACCTTGCATGCTGTCAAACTACAAGTTTGGTTAAAGCATGCTAATTTATGGTGAAAAGTGAAATCAGTAAATTAACCAGGTTTTTATGGCATAACTGATTACTCATAGTTTTGAGGAGGTTTGTTTGATAGAAGAATGCTAAAGAGTCCATATATGCATGTTAAATAACACTATTGATGAGTTTAGTTGGATTAAAGAATAGGAAAGAGTTCATTTCTCCATTATTTACACCATTATTTTCAGTTTTAAGAATTTTTTTTTATTAGAAGAATGAGAAAGAAAAGAGTCCATCCCTGCATGCTACTTAAGGACTTGTATGTTACTTGCATCTGCATGTTAAACAGTTGTTATTTTTCCCAATATTTAATTCTACAAAAAATATACCACACCACTATGGTATATTTTTTGTAGAATAGTTTTGCACTATAGTGTCTAATAGTCCTTGATAAACTGTCACCTTTATAACTGCCTAACTCCAATTTAAGTCATCATGTATGTACTCTTACTTTGTCTTTGTGCTCTGCTAATAGTATTGTTCTAGGGTATCCATCACGATGCTATGACTTTGTGAACTATATCAAAAGTACAGATTAAAGGTATCACAATCAAGGTTATTCCTACACCTGGTTTATTGAGGTCACAGTGTCATAATAGAATTAAAAGTTATTGTGTAATAAATAAATATAATACAAGGTTTACTGGATCGTAGTATAGTTGTGCTGTATTGTTCCAGATGAGATCATGGCAGTTATCAAGTTGGACAACCAGACAGTGGCCCAGACTAGCTGGCGTCCCTGCTCACAACAGGCCTGGGACCAGAGGTATGCATAAAAAAAACTATCAATGTTTATTTTATTATATTTTTCGGTTTTATCCAACCTTCTTGACTACCTGAGCTTGACTAATTGAGATTAGCTAGTCGTGACTTTATTGTATTTTGAATACTTTGCTCAGTTTGTTCATTGTTCGTAGGTTCTCCATAGAACTAGACAAGTCGCGAGAGCTAGAGATAGGAGTGTTCTGGAGAGACTGGCGCTCGCTGTGTGCCATCAAGTTCCTGAGATTGGAGGAGTTCATAGACGACATCCGACATGGCATGGCTCTGCAGCTAGAACCCCAGGGCCTTCTGTTTGCTGAGGTACTGTAGTGGTTCCTAAAACTATGGATGTATCATTTGATTTTCTATCATCATATGTTTGAATTATCCGCTTATTCAAAGCCATAGAAATAATTAATCCATATTTGTAATAGTGGGAAAAACTTCATACAAATTCCAGTTTTAACGAAGGTTTAGTTTCAATTACTTGTTCTTTGCTATGTGATTCAATATTGCTGAACTACTATAGGTTTTAACTACAAAGCGGTTAATTTTCAAGGTCATATTATTGCATAATAATAAATGATGATATCGGAGTTGGATACTGGATTACTTGACAATATTAACGTTAAATGGACTTTCTTAGGCCAATATTCAGTAATCCAGATGCTAATCTACAATGTGATAATCAAATTTCTATTGGAAGCCCATTAGCACAAAAGCTGTTAAATATCGCAAGACTAAATTTCTATAGTTTATTGTCAACCATTTTAGTACTACAGCTTTTTTGGAGGAAATAAAACTAAGAAATACCTTTGACACCATAATTGATCCAATCCTTTCTCCTGATGCTGTAGAATAATATTTGTCCTAATAATAGTTCTAATACAAAGCGAGTAGAAAGAATTTATTTGGTTTCCAGATTAAATTCTTGAATCCAATGATCTCACGTAAACCCAAGCTGCAAAGGCAGAGAAAGATCTTCAAGCAGCAGGTGAAGAATTTCCCACGAGCCAAGCAGATGAATATCAATGTTGCCACATGGGGCAGACTGCTGAAGAGGTCGTCGCCCTCCATACAGAACTCTAGGACACACTCAGAGAGTCCACCTTCTACTGGTGAGTTTACCTGTTGACCTAGGTTCTGAGTGCAGCTTCTTGTCAAGTGGTTGTCCAGAATGATTTTGCCATTTAAAAAATAATAAATGCAGCAACTTTCTTGTTGGTGGATGTTTCTACTTTTAAGAGCATCAATAAGTATTCTTAATGTTATAATTTCAAGAGCCGGTCCTTGCTCTGGATGAGCTAACCCCCTTTTGTTGGCGATGCAACTTCACGGTTTGTTCCGGTAGATTTTATTTTCTAGAAACCATTAGGTTCCCTTGAGTAAACTGCTGAGTGATGCTGAAGGTGGAGCATAGGCATAGCCCCATATGTCCGGCCAAGGCTAGTTGTTTTACGCAGCATTGTCTGTTGCAGGGAGTGAGGTAGAAGACAAGCCAGAAGCCCCAGGTGAGGCCCCAGACCCGGGTGTGGCGGGGCTGAGTGGTGCCAGGCCGCTGGGTATGGGTGTAGCAGTGCTGCCCCCGCTGCCCCCGGACATGCCTTTCCTCCCCTCCGCTGTGGCTAAGAAGCGACCACCTACCTTGCCTACTGTACCTCCGCCACCACCGCCGCCTCCACCTAGACTTGACCAGGAGGTAATTGATGGAATGGTAACACACTTTTCATTTTCTTTTTCACCTATCCTTCTTGATTGCCTGGCTAGAAGAATACAATTTAAATTACAATATAAAGTCTGTGAAGATGTTTTTTCAAAGGCAGGCTTAAATGTTTAAAAAAACTGGATTAACATGCACTAAGGTAAAAGATATATTTTTCAAATTATTTTTAGATTCCTAATTTGCTTTAAAATGGCTTTAAGATTACCCTGTATCATAGTTGCCGTATAAATGATGATGTAAATTTTGATTTGACCTTCTGTAAAATCTCACTTTCATTAAAACGAATATTGTTAATTTATATCAATAGAAAATTCATGGTAAATTCGCATGAAATGTTTTCATTAAAATTACATTAGCCATAAAAAAAATAGGTTTGGAATGATGGTGATAGTAATTTTCTGAAGGTGTATCTGTAGTATTCAAATTCAAATATATAGTTAGTATTTTGTTTTATTTTCTCATACTTTTTATGAATCGGGCTCCAAACTTAATGGCTCGGAGATTATTAAGTAATTGACTTCAAGTCAGGCAATCAATTAAACCTTTCATGTTTACTTGCTCACATCAGCTGGTTTGAAATTCTTTCCATGCCTTTGCTTTCATTCTGTTGGCTGTGATTCATTCCTTGCTCTCTGTTGCTGTTGGCAAATCTTTTGTTCACCCTTATAATACTTACCATTTTATTTATTATCACTTTAACCAACAAAATATGTCCATTCATTTTTGCACCATTCTGTTCATAAAATATTCTAGTTCACTTTATCATAAATCTCATCTCAAAAATTTGTCATTATAGTTTTACCACATATTTGAAAGGTTACAATATTTGTTTTACAATATTTCTGAAATTTATTATCAAAACATTATAATAAGTTTTTATATAAATTCTTTTTCAACATGGCTAATGCTGAAAGAAGTTTTCAATTAAAACTAGTCCATAATCAAGTTTATGAACAAAATTAACAACCATAATTTATTTGGCTTAACAGTTTGTTTTAAACTTACAGAAAGTTATATTTTGTACATATACATATCATTCAATCTGGTATGAAACTGCAATATATGCATACATTCATTTAAATTCAATTTTTTTTAATTTATCAACTGAAGGTGTTTTTGTCCCGATGCCTTTTTTTTCTCAAAACTGTTCATGTTTGCTCTTTTATTCCTTTTGGTTGCAAATTTTACTGACAAATCTACTATGACAACAAACGTAGGCTTCTGCATAGAGTTGTAACGTTTTTATGACAGCAATAAATTTTACTAGTAATGAGACATAAATTTCCAGAATATATTAAACATTTTAATTTTTGTAAATAATGAAATAGGTAGAATATTCTGGAGGACTGTAAATATTTTAAGACTATTTTAAGGTACGGAAACGTCACAGAATAAATGCTCTTAATGTCCCTGCTATTGCAAGGAAATTAAGTTGACACAAACATGGATATCGTCACATTTATTTTTTATCCAACCGAGGCTTGTGACATCTTTTAACTTTGCATTAACCCGCACATAATGGGCCTTAGAGGCCTGTGTGTGCATTTTTTCAAGCAAAGCAAATGGTGAGCCGATAAATATAGTGCATTGGGAGGGAAACATTTTGTATAGCTTTATTCGATTTATAATCTGTTGTGATACCAACTCGACAAAACCTTTGACCGCCATCAGATTTTAATAGTTAAAATACTATAAAAAACTTGTGTATAGCAAAGCAACTGCTTGGCATGGAATCAAAAGTCACAAAAAACAAGAACTTATATCAAACTTTTGCCATAGAAGGTTTAGAAACCGACACATCCTTAATATAATTACATAACATTCAAAGACAAACTGTGTTATCCCAGATTGTTTGATATTGTACATACGTAGGTGGTAGGTGGTGATTGTTACAATACCGCACTGTTGTTGTTGTTGCTGCATGTCGCACTCGCAATGTCCACAGTTGCAGAGTGCGCTGAGAGAGTTTGACTTCCTTCAGGAGGAGGAGAGAGGGGGAGTGAGACCACTTCCTCACCCCCCTGCACCCCCTACCCAGCCTCCAACTCCTTCTCCGCTTATAGAGTTCCCCCAGGAAGAGGTATCTCCTTGCATGCTGTACAGTGTACAGTACCTTGTAAATAAGTAACTAGGGGTGTGCAGCAAGTTAAACTGTAGCATGATACTTGTAAACTCTTTGACTATGGATCGCTAGACTTTCTATACCTTGTTAAAGTTGTAGGACTAGACATGTGGCCAGTCTTGAACCAACAATTTCGGTACCTATTATCAGCCCAAGACTTTACTACCAGTGGTTGCAAACCCTATGGTTACCTTTGGCTGTTGATAGTGTATACATCCCAGCCCCATGTTACGGTTGTACCCAGTTTCAGGATAAAAATAATATAAATATTGTTCAATTGATCCATCGATAGAGTGTGCTGATGCAAATTAAAGTACTAATCTCTTTCCAATACGCCCATGTTTTAACCAAGTCAAATTGAAAAGACTATTGCATCCTAAGGCTATTGCATCTTTTATTTCACATAAACTATTACAGCAATTAAAATCAAGGGAGAAAATAGAATGTATGACCGTAGCACACTCAGTAATTCTACTAATTCTATTACATTTTTAGGAATGCTTACAGAAATGTTATAATATTTTATTATTTTGTATCGGAACAGGTACTAGGGTTGCTGAATGTTAAACATTATGTATTTGTTGCATTAGTTTAATTTATTATTTTTCTTTCTTATATCTAATTACTGATAAAAAAATCTATTTTTTAAATTTCTTGCTTTGTAACAGATTGTTTATTAACTTGCACACCCCTTGTTATTCTAATGTAGTGTTTTTGTATGAATTACTTTCCACTTACTGTTGTATATAAATGTTTTGACTGATAAGTGATAACACCATTTTAATAATAATTTTACGGGTTAAATTAAATTTACTATACTTCCTTAGTTTTTTCACTGGTATGTTGGAAATAACTAAATGACTTCTGTAACTGTTTTGAAACTGGTGAAAACTTAATATAACTTCCCTACCAAGGTGTATGTTTAATTGATTATTTAATTTTTCTATGGCAATCATCTTAACTAAGAATATTTCTTGTAAATACGCACCTAGTTGGCATCCCCATCTCATTGATTGATGATTGATTGATTTGTAAATCCAACTAATATTTAACCTAAATTATCTTGTCTCCTTAGACTCCATAATATGTAGTTACAAGATTACAAGACAATTTGAATGAAGTTGGAATGAATTGAACTTATAATGGGAAGATCAAAACTATTTTTTTTAGGCAAGTCTCCAAAATGTATCAAAAAGGTCCCTTCTAATATCTCCAAAAATATTTTCCCATCAAATTTAGGTATACAACCTTACTAACATATATACTCTTTTGAACTGACTCTGTATCAATCACCATTTTGAATTAACCGCCTCTATCCGGGCAAACTTAGAGGATGACTTTCCTCCCTGAATTTGAAAAGTAATAGGTTCAATCAGCTTTTGCTTGAAAAAAAAATTTCCGTTCCCACCTTTATCACAGTAATAAAAGATCATTCTTGTACTGATGTAATCGAGTTACTACCCACAAATCCAAAATCACACAAGAAAATAAGGCTAAGGCTGGAGAGTCCAGAAATAGGTTACCGATGAGAGAGTCTTCTGTAATTTATTAAATATTTACCCTTGTTAACTTTGCTCTGTACTTTTCTAAGATCTCATACTCTTTATTTATTGAGGGGTAACCTTCAGATGGAGGAAACTTTAAGATGAATGGGTTTGTGGGTCCATCACAGTTTTTACTGGCTTTGACATACTGTCCCCTTATTTTTAAGAAAATGTACTCAGACTGTTGATGGGCTATGTTGTACGTAATGTTATAGCCTGAGTATCCTCGTCCGCCAGCTAGAGCCCTAGAGTATAGAGACTCAGCGTACGAGTCTCGCAGACATTCTCAGTTCTCTGGTATGACCATGGACAACTTCAGGCTGCTTAGTGTCTTGGGCCGTGGACACTTTGGCAAGGTAAGCTCCATCCCCCATTGACACAAAACTTTCCTTAAACTCACCCGGGTCTACAGGTCCTGAATATCCACAAACCGTTGGGTCCTAAATGTTTCCAATCCACAGAGTGACAATATAACAATGATTTGTATAACTTATTACTGCACTGTAAATGTTCTAATTTTTACTACAATAAGTAATAAATGGTCAGAATCATAAAGTGCTAATGCTGATCTCTTAAGTTCTTTTAATTATGGTAAGTGCATTAATTAAGTAGAATCAATCTCATTAATCTTTTTGGTACTTGAAACAATGTTTTGTGACAAAAGATTGAACTTATCTCACCTAATATGGATTACATTACTTTTCTATAGGCCTATCTTACTATTATTAGAACTTGTACTTTCTAAAGTTCCTTTTATCGTCTAATCTTTTGTTGTCTTGGCTTCGATATAGACCAAAAAAATTACATATGTAAGTTCAGGGTGACCAGAGAACGGGAATTTCGGGAAAACCGGGAACTAACCATTTTAAATATGGATTCAGTACAAGTTTAGAAAGGTTTCACACCCAGCGCCATAATGTATTTGCACAAACGCTCATGAATCATCATGAAACTCCGTTAGGGCATGAAAACACCGACTGCACATTGTGAGCATCGTTTGCAACCCCAGCTAAGTTGAGAACCTCTTCTTTGATCTCAGAAAATTTGGGAACTGCCTCTGTGGGCTTGGCGAAATCGTGAACATCTTCTGAGATCGTGGTGAAATCGTAAACACCTTCTACGATCACGGTGAAATCAAGAACATCTCCAGCGGTCACAACCAAATCAAGGACATCTTCCATGGTCTCGGGAACATTATTGTCTTCCAGGATTGCAACAAATCGGTGGACAACGTGACAAATTTTCAATCTTTGATCGTACATTTTTGCTTTCCGTGATTGTGTAAATATACATTCATCTCAACTCAAACTTGGACCGTTAATCATTTTCAACCGGAACCAATCCCTAGGGTCAACTTTTGGTTTGACTTGACCCAAAAATATTGGGAACCTGTAGACCCTTAGTCAAAAGGTCCTCTGGTTCCAAGGAATCACGGACCGGGAAAACCGGGGAAAATGTGTGATTTTATAAGGAGTTCTGTGATCACCTTGACATTGTTATTTTATTTTATTTGCTTGGTTAAAAATTGCTTATCATCATCTTGATCTTGTGAACAGTATTTTTTTTTATAGTTTGTGAATAGTAGAGTATACAATCATTTTAATTTACGGTACTGTATATAAAAAATGAGGACTGATGAAGTTTGTAACGAATACAGATGTACAACTAACTGATCAGAAATACGTCTCACATTTGCCATCATTATTGCTGTGTAAACATTTTCTACAGCAACATTTATCTGTTTCTAGGTGATCCTATCACAGTACCGCAACACCGGGGAGTATTTCGCCATCAAGGCACTCAAGAAGGGTGACATAATCGCTCGTGACGAGGTGGAGTCTCTGCTGTCAGAGAAGAGAATATTTGAGGTGGCAAACACTATGAGGCATCCCTTCTTGGTCAACTTGTTTGCCTGCTTCCAGACCGAGGTACGCTTGTTGCTCCTCAATTTGTTGAGATTTTAAAGTAAATTCTTGTTGTATACTTTTCAAATCAGATAAATAACATAATAAGGAATGGAAATAAGATACCTTTTCAATCAGATAATACCTGGCCTGGAAATATAGTCAGGACATATATATACTGTTTGGTGCATGTAAATCAACCTATTTGAGCTCAATTTGAAGTAAATCAAAGCTATACCCAAGCTGTCATTTTTTTAAAGAATTTGAATTGTTAGCTTTCTTGATATTTTATCTGCTACCACTGTGGGCGATGGTAAACTAAAATTAAACATGAGCCTTAGGCCACCTTGTTTCCAAACTTAGAGAGCGTAAAATTGAAGAACATGAGCAAACAAGAATAAGAATGATTTATTTCATTGATCTTTTTACAAAGAAATAGGACACGTCATATTAATTGCAAAATAATCATACATACAACTTTACATTTTACACCAAATATTTTGGCTAGGACCGTTTTTTTCACTATTGTAAACATACTTTTTCTACTTTAGTTGGTAATAAAAATAATAATAATCATGGTGTTTTCTAGGGCCACGTATGTTTTGTGATGGAGTATGCGGCCGGTGGTGATCTGATGATGCACATACATGCTGACGTGTTCACGGAGCCTCGTGCTGTGTTCTATGCAGCCTGTGTTGTCTTGGGACTGCAATATCTGCATGAGAGCAAGATCATTTATAGGTACACTAGTTCACTTCGTAACCCATGTTACAAAATTAAGATAGTTGTCTAACTAAACATAAGATTAGCGAAGGTTCTAAAAAGCTAGTTCAATTAGCTTGATTTTACTAAATAAATACAGTTAACACCTTTCAACACATGTTATTGTTATAACAGGGATGATCCTGTCCATTCATTCCCTATTTTTGTTGTTTCAATCATTGTAGACTAGTGAAGTGATAAGATTGAATTGAGGGATTGTTAATTCTTGATACTTTGTAGTTTTGAATTTTATACCCAGTGTAAAACTTCAGCGTCGTAAGTTTTTGATCTTGCAAATCTTTCTCACTAAATGTGAAAATTTTATTTTATAATCAATTTAACCTAAACATCTTTAGGCTAACTGGTTTGGGGCAAAAATAGTAGTAACAATATTATCTCCACAGAGATCTCAAGTTGGACAACCTGCTGCTGGACACCGAGGGGTATGTGAAGATCGCAGACTTTGGACTTTGTAAGGAAGGGATGGGATTTGGAGATCGCACAGGCACATTCTGTGGCACACCCGAGTTCCTGGCACCCGAGGTGCTCACAGAGACATCCTACACCCGAGCCGTGGACTGGTGGGGTCTGGGCGTGCTGATATTTGAGATGCTTGTAGGAGAGGTGAGTTGGCTTCTTGTCTAGTCAGTTGATGTATTTCTACACCTTAATAAAATGTTTCATGTGAATTTTGTTTATCACAAAAGAGGATAAGATGTGTTCTAGATTTGTAGTAAATATTGAAAACTCAGAATTAAGTATTTTTTTTAGGGATAGCAGGCTCACCTAAACAGTGGATTAGTTTCATCATGGCACAAGAAAAGCAACTTCTTTACCAATATACACAATCGTTTGGATTTTACACTGTAACTTTACACAGAATTTTTTTCAAGGTTGTTTTTTGTACAAGGGTTTGTGTAAAAAATAAATACAAAAAACAAATTGGGTAGATGGGTCTTTCTTTCTCACTTAAGTTTTCCTCAAAATTGCCGTCAGTTGCTGTGAAATATTGTAGTATTATTATATTTTAAAGTTTTTGTGTTTCATGTGCCCTGACGAGCCATAAAAAATTCTAGTTTATTTGTTTTAACCTAGACTATTGTCCCTTCAATTTCAAATGTGAATTGATGGAACAATTGTCCAATGTTTAGTAGCTCCACTTCATGCAGCAAGTGTGTTGGTTACAGGATAAATGAAACCTGATGTTTTTTTTAATTTAGGAACACTAGTAACTAACACCATGTTTACTTTTGTTTTCCAGTCACCGTTCCCTGGAGATGATGAGGAGGAAGTATTTGATTCTATAGTCAATGATGAGGTTCGCTACCCAAGATTCCTGTCACTAGAGGCCATTGCTATAATGAGAAGGGTAAGTGCTGTTGCATACATGTAAACACATAGACTACTTTCTTTAATTCTTTGGGATAGGGATGTGTTCGTTCAATATCAGTAAACAATTGCTACTCTAGTGAGTTTGGTGTATGAGGAACCGGTTTGATCTCATCCACAAAGGTTTTAAGGGTTTGAACCGCTTTTCCAAAAAGTGTTTAGTAACCGTTCTTAGCAGAGGTCACTAGCATTAAATCTAAAAATGAAATTAAAAATATATTCAAGTCTTAAAATAGCATTTAATGAGGTAAATAAAGTAAACATTTTCTTCGCAGTCCTTATTATCTTTTAAGAATTATGCAAAACACCTTTGATTTGATGACACTCCTTTATGTTTCACATTGTGTTAGACCTGGTCTGGTTCACGGTTTGCATTATGATTTGCTCACAGCTGCTGCGTAAGAACCCTGAGCGAAGGCTTGGCTCCAGTGAGAGAGATGCAGAGGATGTCAAGAAGCAAGCGTTCTTCCGTAGCATACCCTGGGAAGACTTGCTGCTGCGTCGATTCAAACCTCCCTTCGTGCCAACTGTGGTATGTTGTCGTGTATTTTGCAGCCCTTGGGAGTTTCTGTGTTTAGAAATTTGTTATCTTGAAAAGAGTCTACTGTGTACTTTGGAAAGAAGAGGAATTTTTAGAAAAGAGATAGCGATAAGTTAGTGTACCTGAGTTATGAGTTTGTGAGTTAATTGTGTATGTGTTAACCCTGGACTCTAACTTTCTCTGGTAATTTAGCTAAACTCTTTCCATAAAGCAATACATCACAGTCTTGGCAATTTGGCAACTTGGCATTATTGAAATTATAAGATAAGACACGCAATTCAATGACCTTTTTCTGAATTAAATGGTAAATATTTTTATTTAAAAAAACTTTAGCCTAACTGAAATAAAGCTGTTGGCTTTAGTAAGTAACAAGTAAACATAATTAATTCTATGAGAGCAATAAATTTGTTTCAATATTGTTATAAAACATACTGTGGTAAAATTTTGCAATAATATTTTACACAGAGATGCATCTAGTGACATTTCAACAACAGAAAACAGATTAAAAATAGTTTGCAGCCCTTGAAAAAGAAATTAAGTGTAATGCAAAAGTTTATATCAGTAATAAATCCTCTAAAGTGAAGATAATTTAGTGGAGTTGACAGGGCTTACTTCCTTATATAGGTTTATTAAACTCTAAGAGCAGACCATTGCATTTTTAATACCCGCTTGCCCATCAATCAGTTGTATCTATTCTGCCCAAAACAATGTGAAAGTTCTAAGACTAACATTTTATGTTGGTCACACAGCATGGCGTGGAAGACGTGAGTAACTTTGATGAAGAGTTTACGTCAGAACTGCCTCAGCTGACTCCTCCCAAGGACCCACGACCTCTCACTGACGATGAGCAGACACTCTTCAGAGACTTCACTTACATGGCTGACTGGTGTTGATGTGGAAATTGATTGGGTAAATTGGTAATTCTCATCTTTGGTTCACTAACAATTTGTGTTTCAAAGTTATAAGGATATTAATGTTAGACGCCAGGCAATGAATACAAACCCTTTAAGAAGCGCAATGCCTTTGTTAAAAATTCAGTCTTGGAAAATTTCAATTTCGTACAGTTCACGCGGCAGCCGCTAGGTAAACTATCGCTAGTGCGCGGCCAAGTCAGCTGACTGAGTGAGAGAGAGTGAGACAAAGAATTGGCTTAGAGAGAGAGAGACAGAGACAGAGTACGGACAGAGACACGGCCGCCGCACAAGCGATCCTAGTGGAGGCCGCCCGAAACTAATTTTAGTGGTAAAATTCCAGTCTGACTTTTATTCTCCATAAGCATTTTGCTTCTTAAAGGGATTGTATTCATGCGCCGGGTTATCTACCTAAAGCATTGTGTAGAATCTTTGAGTAGTTTTTACATTTGAGTATGTCAGATTTATCTTTTTTTCTTGGGAAAGCTAAGTTTCTGAATGGGCTGATGATGATTGTGCCTCTGTTGAGGCATAAAGGTACTTACAGAAGTTAAATGTATTAAGAGCAAATATAATTTAAAATATAACAATTATTACAGTATTATGAAATGCAAACTAATTTGTTTACTCTTATTTTTCAGGTGACCTGAGCTCAATTTGAAACCCGGTTTTTGACTATCTTTTTCACGGCAATGAAAGTTTTATATTTATGAGCTGCCTTATACTTGATATATTTACTATTTTACTATTATTGGATAAATCACTGATATATCATAAAACCTGTTGTAGTAAAGTAGGTGCTGTTATGTTTTGATCAAACAATCAAATTTTGTTTAATTCTGTTTACATATAAATATACCTTTGATATTTGTAAGTAAATTAAATTGTTTCAATTCCTATAGTTTAGTTGTATTGTAGTTTTTTATGGAGCAAACACATATCATTGATCTAACATTTTATATCAAATAAAAGTGGTTCAATTGATCCGAAACAGCTATTAATAACATTTTAGAGCATTAAGGGCAAGTTTAGTTCTACTTATTTTTATAAAATTCTCCAGTAATTTTTTAACTCAACATTTTACAATGCATGTAATTTTCTTAAAGTCAATAGACAAGCTCAATATTTTCAGTTAGGTGCTGGTTTTTGGGAACCAGCCAACAAAGAAATTGCACATAAATCCCCTCAACCTCAACCAATTAATGAGGTCTGCATCCCAGCTATTTGGTTATAACAGTTTTTATTGATCGATAGTCGTAATCAAGTTGTACATTTTCAGTTGTAAATATCGTGTAAATACGGTCTATAACACAATACCGAGGCAGCTAGCTGAGTGAGACGTGCCTTTATGAGGGACTGGGTGATTTATAAAGTTGTATATCATTCTTATATTTGATGTAGCTGATCAATTACATCAGTTTTGTATTGAATAGTTTTATATTGATTATCATCACACCCAGTGCAGTGTTGTTAACTTTCCCGTTTGTTCCCAGCATTCTTATTATCCTAAATAAAATCAAAGGTTTAAGTGGTGGCTAGTCATGTCTTGTGTTTATAAGTGAGTTTGACAGGCAAACTTGAGTATTCCGTATAAACTCATTGAAACCTTATTCTAAATCATTGATAAAGAATTGGATTTTACATCTGAAAAATAATAGCAAAACTTATTCAGTCAATGCGAGGCAGATTGTGAGAGAATTTTTTCAAGAATGTTTCTAGCCACCTCTTATGAAACTTGAAAACACACAAGCATACAAGTGATAAAGCATATTTTAACTTTATCATGAGTATTATTTTTATTTATGCATGTTTAAAAACCTTTTTCATATTTTACATGGGTGTTATTTAACAGCTAAGTTTTTCTAATTTACAACAACAAAAAGTTTAAATCAAGTTAAAGAGTGATGCTTTTGAATTTATTTTACAACTGTGCAGAATTTTACAACTTTATTTCAGCTGCTTCTTATCAGAGTGAAGTTTATAAACATAAGATTGTGTATTTTTGTTACTCAATCAAAGATATTTTGCTGATATTCAGGCTACTAGGTGTTAATATATAAAAAATGTCTATATAATTGATATATTAAAGCATTCTACTCAAACTTTTCATCTAAGTTCTAAGATTTTAAACACCTAATCTAGCAATATACTTTGCCTTTTAGATACATTAATGCTTTTCATTAAAATCCAAAATGCATTTTATATATTTATTATTTACCCTAGGAATTATTGACAATAAACACATTGTGAAAAGTGATACGACTGCCATTTTTGGTAGTTGTGCTATGAAACATTGTGGTTTTTATATTCAACAGTTTGCTCAAAGAATTGAAATAATTAAAATCGAGGTTTTTAAAATGATCACACTTATGAATACCTGTACGTGAAAGTAACAAGATTACGAATACCACTATAAGTATTATTATGTATTTTAAACAGTGTTTTATATGAATAGAGGAGATATTTAAATGGATTTTAAAAGATTGTATCAATATAGTATTGCTTATTTTTATAGATCCTATTTTAATGGTTGTTTTATTTGAAATCATTAATTTGTCTCTGAACGACTGATTGAGGCTGCTTTTTTAAGTATTTTCACAAACGATAATGATTCTAAAGCATGTTAATTTATGATAAATCACAGATTTATAGCATTTATGTGCATGTTATTAGATATATAAATATATATTTGGATATTTTATTTTTATTGCAACTGTTACGTTTGAGATTTTGAAGCTTGCAGGTCTGTATAACAAAACCTGACACTTTTTTCGGTTGTTTTTAAAGTTTTGTAAAATGTTCAAGAACTAATTTTATATTAGCTTTAGCTAGTGATGTCTATGCGAACGTTTTGTTTCTATTCTCACTGCTTATTGTGAATATGTATAAATAAATGTAAAAATATTCTAACCTGGTTTTGAAATTGCCTTAGCTAACATTAACTATTAAGATGCTCATTATGACTAGCTTCATAGTCATATAATCAACTTTAAATCAATATTTCTCTAGGTATTTTAAGGTCTTTAAATTTAAACCTGTTTGAGTTAACAATTTTTAACTTTTTATTTGTAAAACATTGATGACCTTTTGCTTTGTAATTTACACTGTATGTTAATATGAATCAACTGTTGTAATAATAAGCAATGTTAAAATTAACTGTCGGCTTGTTTACCTTTCCATAACATAATAAATTATGGTTTAACATACAATCGGAAAGGTGAATGATCATCAATTATTTATAGATGATTATCAATTGTTATGTACTCTACTCTTTAAAAAAAATCATACTTTTTAAGCACATTTTAAACTTAAGCTGGCTTATGGACTGTTTCTAACATGCTTAAAATTTTGTATTATCTTGAAATATACAGTCAGTCCTTGAATATTATAATCAAACTCGTTTAAGGAGGCGTTTTGTTCTCCACATTAAACTAAGAGCGGTTCTATATTTACCGTACCTTTTTTCAATGCATCTCACACACTGTATTGCCTGTCATGTATATACCAAAAGTTATTTGTTATGTCCATGGTCCTAAAAATGCCAGTAAAAGTGCTACTATATCAAACAAATATTGCTAGAAAGAAATATTATTCTACCTTTTTTTTATGAAAGCATATCATTGTAATTGTTATAAAGCAAAAGGTCTCTCTAAATATAACGGTTTTACTCTGGAGAAATGAGGACAAAGTAGTTCTATATTTTACAATTCCACCTTATTTTTCTACCTGCCTGTAATGAATAAAATATCTTACATGGATAATAAATGCATCCAAAATGTTTATTTATAAGTTACTTAACAAGCTCTTATGATTGTGTATTACCTGTTTTTATGATGGTTTTTATTTCAGTGTCCTTTAAAGCACTAAAATCTTCCCAGACTGTAAAATGGATTTGAACTTGAGTGTTAGTTCCTCATTTCTACAGAGCCCACTTCCTATGAATCACACATTGCTCATAACTACCATATGCCAAATTAATACCTAAACAGTTGTATGTGAACTGGTGATATTGACTGCCAGTAGGCAAGATCAAGTTTTGGTCTATTTTAATGTTATTATTACTGTTACATTCACTAGAAATAAATCACATTTTAGTCTATTGTGTGTGTTTTATTTTATCCTTGTTACATACCTTTTTGTTAAGTATTTTGGCTTTTTTGCAATCAATTTAGAATTATTTTAATATTGATGTTATTAAATTGTGATGTTGAATGTTCCATGGTGCAAATTTAATCATCATGGAAGCAAGTTTCTATTTATTTATACTTTGTTAAGTACAAAATGAAATACTCTGAAACTTTGTATTCAGCGTCTCATTTGGTCATGTATGCATATTTATGCAGTACTTCAAAGCTGTGCTTAAGTTTTTGTTTTACAATATAACTAAAAGGATATCTATATCTATAAAAGAGGAACTATGTATGTATATATATGTGTATATACGTTATGGACTCCGAAACCGCTCGACAGATTGTAATGAAACTTTCAGGCATTATTAAGCATCTTTCAAGGATGGTTCGAGTGAAGTTTGGTGCAGATCCGTCAAAAGGGCTCTGCCCCAGAGGGTTTTAAGAGGGCCAATGTCAGACTTTTTGATCTAGAATGTTAACAAATAAATATAACTAGTGTCCCTGTTGCTCGAATTCGAGCAATTGCCAAGTATTAGAGGCGTTATTTTTAAAGGAATAACGGTCATAATTTCTGATGACTTTAAAAGATTCGACCAAAAGATTATGGAAATACTCAAGATTTAACAGAATATATCAATTATTTACCCAGGCTCTCTCGCTTTTTTCAATTGTAATATTTACCATAACCTAAATTCAAATAGTAAATATTTCATTTAAACCAAGTCAGTAAATGTTTGTAACAAACTGTATTAGCAAACTTATTGGATGTTTAGAATTAACATATGTTCTTCTTCTCACTTTTAACTTCTGACAACAGCTGAAGTTTTATAAAAATTTTTGTTTCCCATGTTATGGAGAAATACGAAACTTTAAAGGGCCCCAGGGCCTCACTCTCTAATTATTTCCCTAAAAAAAAGTTTCCTGCACAACTTCACGTTACGCTCTTTCCAATGACACCAAAAACATGTCAATCGGTTCAGTAGTTTCGGAGGAGTAATTGTCACAAAAAACATGCTTGCGTATTAAATAAGTACGAGAGGTCGTCCAGTGGTCGAAACTCGACCAAAAATATGTAATGTACTCACTTAACTATTTTCACCCCACACTGTAAATAAAACATGTGATTGGAGTTTCCTCCATTTGTTTTGATTTTCTGTTTATATTTCGTTGTTATTTCGTAACCAGCATAGCAACGCATAAGATCCATGTTATTTTTTTACAACTTTTAAACTTATTTTTTGTGCTTATCTTTGAGCCTATTTAAATTTATAAAGGGATTCTGCACACCTACAGGAAAATAGCTTTCCAACGGTATGCGTAGATTTTCCCTACGATGCACACGAGCTGAGAAAAAAGGTTTTAAAGAAACATGCTTGCCTATTAATATATAGATAGATAGATAGATTTAAAAGCAGATGTTTACTTTCACCAACTGTTTTGTACGTTTGAATAACTACAACATTCTGTATTAGCATTAGTCATGATTTGAAATAGTGCCACAGTGTTTCTACAGATTGCAGCACAGAAAACTATTTTACTTTTAAATAAGTCCAAATGTATTAAACCCCAATCGCAGCACACCTGTGCACTTAACAACGTTTAAATTCTCCAATGTTAAATATTAAAACATAAAAACCTTTATAAAAGTACTGTATTATAAACAATAAAAGGGATGACTTTTTTAAATGTATGACAGCATGTTATGAACAGCTAATTTGCAACCAAAAGGTGAGTGAGCGTAGCAAACGAACATCAACCTGGAGGCGAGTAAGCGTAGCGAACGAGCTAACCTGAAAACAAGTTAGTGCAGCGAACGATTTCCAACCTGAAGGTGAGTGAGCGTAGCGAACGAACTTCAACCGTGACGTGATTGAGCCATGCGAATACTTATGAAGTTAAACGGGGCAAAGCCCGTGGGTACAGCTAGTATATTTATATAGTGATACTGAATAACTTTCAAAGTAAAGCTACTTGACAACTAAATATTTTTAGTCACAATTTTTAGAATCATTCAATTCCGTTCCAACTTTGTTTCCTTGATGGTAATTAAAATTACATAAACATACTCAACTTGAATCCAAATCGTTCGAGCCGTTTTTTATCCTATTTTCTATCATTTTATGGGTTACAGTACTAAGAAAAAAAAACACCATTAAAAATAATTTCCAAAAAATAAAAAAAAACAGATTGATTTAGTACCTACCTACTACTACCTACATAGGTACCAAATTTCATCAATATCAGGCAACAGGTATGGTCTGAACCTATGTACACATTCACACGCTCACACGAATGGTCTTACACACAGGCATCACTTTGAAAACCATTTTTTGGGTTTCGGGGGTCCCAAAACTAATGAAAATTTTGACAAAAACAATACCTCTCCATGTATGTACTACTTATAGGGGGAGAAGTAAAAACTTGATTCAGCTAGTCGTTCTTCGATATTTTTGAACTTGGTGTTGTTTAAAATGAAATTTTGAATGCTTAAATTAAAGTGTTTTTGACATTTTTCATAAAATTTACCATATTTTAATGATTTAAGTTAGAATTATAATGATTTTGATATTTTGATGTGGATCAAACTAATTGCTTTTGTAACAATATTTTTGAATTTGTTGTTTAAAATGAAATTTTGAATGCTAAAATTAAAGTGTTTTTGACATTTTTCATAAAATTTACCATATTTTAATAATTTTAAGTTATAATTATAATGATCCCATTTTGATACTTCAAAGTGGATCAAATTAATTGTTTTTGTAACATAAATATCTTAAATACCTTAACAATACACCAAGTTTCATAAAGATTGGTTGGAAAAATCCTAAGACAAAAATTGTCATGCATAAAAACAAAATAGTGGATGTCTGGGTACCTAGATTTGCATTTTTGGACATGTCTTGATATGCAGAAATACAGTTTTTGAATTTATGTTCGGAAAAATGAAAATGTTATTTAAAACCCGTAAATTAATTACATTAAACTTCTTTAAAGCCAACACCTTTAAAGCAATTTTAATAAGTAAAATTTAATGTTACAATCACTTGTGAATTTTTGTATTGCCTTTTTTAAATAGGCCAAGTTAGCCCTACTTAAGCCAAATTTTGTAAATTTGTTACTTATATAAAAAGCTAAAATAAAACCCAAACCAAACTAAATAGATAATTTAAATAGCCAAATTCAGATATTATGTGCATACAAATTTTAAAGTAGGCCTAGGCCTGCTTTGAAATTTCAAACTCTAAACCCATACTTATACTAAAATGTACTGTAATAACTTAAATATATATTTTTTAATCTGTAAAACATGTAGAAAAACTTTTTATTTCTTTTTCATGATGAACACCAGGCAATTATTTTTATGATAAAAAATTATAAGCCACCATGAAGCAAAAATTAACTAGGTTAGTTAAAGATTAAATAATGAATCTGAGTAGACTTTAAATCACTTGTGGACATAAACTTCAACCATGTTTAATGAGACTGGTTACTTACTGGGGTTTCAGACAAATTTTCCCCCCACCTAGGGTAGAATGAATTCTCCAGTTTATGGAGAGTTCTCTTAAGCGAGTATGATTTTTTTGTCTAGATATGTGAACCTACAGCCTACGGTGGGTTCTGAACCACTGGTCATAGTTTACAGTGTTTAAGGCAATACACACACACCCACACACAATACACATATATTTTGTGATTGGAAGGATTTGATCCCGTACCTCCCGAACAAAAGGTCCGTGTAACTACCAGACAGTGCCACCGGTCATTTTACAGTTGCATTTATCCCACATTTGACCACTTCGTGGTTAAACACTATCACACAGTATTGTCTACATGCTGTCAATAAAATCGGAATTAAATAACTCCAAACTGAAAAATACCAAACAAGTCTTTTGCCTACCAACCCAATTGGTAGATCAAACCTCAACAAAATAAAGTATTACCTCACCTAGTCGCTTAGCGCAATCAACCCCATGAATCAGCTTCGGCATCATGCGACTTAAAAACCCATCGCCATAGTTTTTATAGAATTGGCGGCAACGGGTAACCAAGGGGACGAATCAACAGAGGCTGAGGAATAAGCCGATAGTGATCAATAAAAAGTTGAGTCAGTCGCAGCCAGTCAGCGAGCCGACTCAGGTCGACGACTCAACGTCCGCTACAGCGAGGTACGTCTAACTTCTACTAGTAGACTAGATAACATGTGGTTGGAAAATATACTAAGTTACTACACAGAGTTATTCGCTATTGTTCCTAACAATGCAAACTCTAAGTACAAAAGTTACCTTCCAAACTGTTTTGTTTACTACAGCTGAGTGCTGAGTAGTGAAACTGATGCGTGTCACGTTAGTGCTACATTGTTTCCATTGATTGCTATTTTGGTATTGTGTAGTAGGGAATCTACGTTGCATTGCACTTTGTTGTGTTGAAGTCAACAATAAATGCAATAGTTGGTGAATAATTAAAATGAAAATATTAAATGTTTATTTAAACGATAGTTAGAGGGTAAATAAATGTTTAGATCACAAAGGATTGTTTATTTTAGACAGTGTATGGTATTATTTAGTTTACTTATGTTTTCTTGACGTTTCAGTGAGTAATTCGCATAGATATAATTGCAAATTTAAACTTTTCATTGCGATTAAAGTTATATAGTTTAGGCAAACTTGTGGTACGTCTTAACATAGCACTCCAAAAATGTAATGTAAATACTATTTACAATAAATTCGTTACTTAAACGGATCAAGTTTTACTTAAAATATACCTTTTAAAAGACAAAAGGAATTGCTATAGATTATCAATTTACTGACAACGACAAATTGACGATTAATAAAAATATCTGTACCTAATAAAAAAGTTGGTCTACAATAGAAATGTTCCGAAAACTAATAACCTAAAGAATCCCATCTATAACTGATTGTAATTTACATCGTTCCATTTACTAGTAGGCCCTACAATTTGAAATGAGTTTTGTGTTAGTCTTAGCAGTGGAAATTGTTATTGTTTAATGACCACTGCGAGATTCCGCTTATAACATTTTTCATCGCATTATAACACTGTCATCGCCAACAACTAACACAGCTTCAAACCAATCACCGATTTGTTCGCGTTGTCGTTCAAATGCAACTAAATTCACGGCGTTAAATAATATGGATGTGTCAAGTGTCCCGAGCGAATTAACTGACCTGACAATTGTAGAACAAATGTAGATAGCACGAGTACATCCCGCTATGCGCATTTACAAAGTACAAGCAAATGGTCAGGATGGCCAGTTTCACTACAAAGGTACCATTGACAATCTTTAAATAATGCTTCTCTCATTTATGCGTCTAAAGTGTAACGGCAGACCACCCTAGTTATTATATTGTATTATAATGTTTCTAACACCTGATTAACTTGTTGCCTTATCATTTGTATTACACCAATTTAGTTTATTAGTTCAGTCACAAGTGCTTACTAAACTATTCTAACTACAGTACTGCCTAACACTTCTTTGCTACTTATTTACTTCTATGCTCCAGCGTTATGAGTAATTGAGAAAAAATATCTGCACTCAAATTTTAGCTGAAATACCTCTGAGATGGCTCATCTATTTTTTTACAAAAACCAATTGATATAAAATCAAATTGAAGATACAGTAGTTAAACCAAATTATACGTGTCTCTGGACTGTTGCCATCTTTCTTCTTAGTGTTTTGTTTCAAAGGGCCTCTGCCCATGTCTCACATTCGAAAAGAAGAACGGTGTGAACAACTGACATTGGCACCCTCCGCTTGTTGCCAACCGGACCACCGACATCACATCAGCCTGCTCAAATTGGCCACAACCACAGAGAATAGATTGTTTGTGCCACAATGTTTTCCTCTTTTTCCGTAAAAAAAAAAACAATTTGCTTTACTAGTTAATTAAAATAACATAGGAAAATGAATACTTTTAAATATATCGTTTTTATATAGCTGAAATTCACTGAATTTACAAAGTGTCACGGAACTCCCTACCAATATTTTAGCGCATTGTTCCTGGGTAAGAAACATATCTAAATATAATACTGTATTAAAATTTTCCGGAAGTCCTTACTTCCTCACACAGCCGCCATTTTGTTTTATCACTTATTAATTTCTTTGTAAAAGTGATTAAACATATGAAATCGAAAATTTGCTCAAACATTTACTACAACTACCTGCCATATCTCAGTTAATATTCGTCCAATCTTATATTTGTAAATGGCCACCATTTTGTTTTATGAACTAGGGAACATTTTTTTTTAGCTTTGTTTAATTGCCATAAATGTTTGTGCAAAGTTTCAATTTTAATGTTTAACCAGTTTTTATAAAAAAATAATAAGTGAAAAAACAAAATGGTGGCTGTCTGAGTAACAAAGGACTTCTTGACAGTTTAAATATGATATCAAGGTATGTTTCCTACCCAGGGACAATGCCCTAGAATATTGGTAGAGAGTTCCGGGACATCATTAAAATTGAAAACCCCCAAAAACACACTCTACTTGTTCATAAGAATGACAAATATGGGTGGGACTGTACTTATTCTGTGATTTAAGTTCCATATTTAATGAAAAATGCTTAGAAAATAAAAGATAATACAGTACTATTAATGATTTCTCCTCAAAATCACTATAAAGACTAATCAAAATCACTAAAAAGCCTTTTTTAGGAAGAGGTGGGATCCATTTGCGCACACAGGTAGCAGTCCAATATCCTCTAAAAAGGTCCACTATAAAGAGTATATAGTAAAATCATAATTATAATTTCCCTGCGTCGAAATTTTAGACAAATAGGCTAAACGCACGGTGTAAATTATTATACCAAAAAGTACCAATAGAATGTTAATGTTGCATATATTTGTGAAACATATTATGTTGCGATTAATTTATATTCCGCTGTAACACGAATAATAGTAGTGAGTATTACTTTACAATGTTACCAACACACATAACTGTTTCGTCACTTTAAAGTTGCCTTTATAATTATTTACAAGAAAAAAATGATAAACGTAAATATTGGCAACACATTGTTCAATTTAGAAAACATACAAGAAAGTAGTAAATTTGTTATTAAGGAACGCGGCAGCGTTCCGCCCCGCCAAGTCCCCCAGCGGTACACAGCTGCTGCAGTGTATATATACATGACGTGACAAAGTGGCTTTTTTACTCGTCTATAGCTCTGAAGAAACAAAAGCTATTAAAATAATTGTTCATCTACTGGATAGGGGCAATCATTCTCAACAAAATTAAAAAAAAGAATTTAAAAAACGGTTGTGTTTGAGCCAAGAAAAACTAGTTTGAAAATTCACAAATTTTCCGTGTTCTCCTTCTTCTCCTTAAATGTTGACGGACCTACAGCCCAAACCACTGGCTCAATTTTAATGTTTTTTATGTTGTTTGAAAGCCCTTAGCGTGTAGATGTGCCTTTTGAGGGTCTCAAGTCGGTGCGTTGACCCATAAACCCTTGGCAAGCCCTCAAAGTACGAGTTTGGCCCATTTAAATAACATGGGATTAAAATCAAAACAAAAGAAGGACCAGCTGCGATTAAATCTTAATTAATTAAATGTTAGAGAAATTCATAGGAACAGCTGAAAAATTATTTTAATACTTTTATAAAGTATTTTTTTCAGGTATACTGAATGATTTGAACTACTTACTATATAAAATTACTTAGAGCAGTGATATTCCCCGATACTTTCCATTGAAAAATGCAGTGTACCGATGGTACACTGGTACAGCAGCTCGTCATTTTTAACAGTTTAATACTACTTATCAAAACATATGAAACCTAGGAACTTGAAACTTAGTACTAGTACGCTAGTACTAAGGTTTGTTCTATGTTTTGATACACTAAAACAAATAAAACGATCGGGAAAATCACTCTACATATGTTAAACAAGCAATTAAAAAGTGATATGTAAATTTAGGATAAATGAGTTATTCAATATTTGTTTTGCCTTATGCTATTTCTAACAAACCTAATTAGTTTGATTACATTTTTACATCTCTAATAAGGGCTCAATTTACACTAGTCTTTAGATATACGGGTTTAATTATTAGAACACTTATGTAACATCAACACATTTTATGTTGTTCAAGATGAGCATTGATGAAATTTGAAACTGTGTTTAAGCCCAGTGGGTTTGTTAAATAGTAATTTTGGTACGTGTGTCAAAAAGTTTTTAATCTGTTTAAAGCAGATAAGACCAAAAATGTAGAATTTAGTTCTACATTAACAATATTATTGAAATTAAATGAGATGTAGTTGTGCCGTAGTCTATATATCAGAGAAAAGAGGATTTTTATTTTAACTGTTAATTTTCTACAAAAATAAATAAAATCTAACAAAAAACCACTAAGTGGTAACACTTTCCCCGCCAAGTCAGCAATCCAAAAAAGTTAATAAATCATTACTTTTTCCGCCAAGAAAAACAATGTAATGTATGTAAGTTTGGCAACTTGGCGGCAGACTTTTGCTCGATCCCTTTAAAAAAATACCATAAAACTAGTTTCATTGAGCAAGTATCCCTCCCATTGGTACATTGCTAGGTGAGAGCTTATTTTACAAAATTTGACCTTATTTGTGCCACATTTCATAAATTATACTTAGTTGGACTAATTAATTAGAGAAGTTGATTTGTGAAATTATCCACGAACGTAACTTAAATGAAAAAAACCAAGCAAAAGTCTGCCGCCAAGTTTCCAAACTTACATACATTACATTGTTTTTCTTGGCGGAAAAAGTAATGATTTATTAACTTTTTTGGATTGCTGACTTGGCGGGGAAAGTGTTACCACTTAGTGGTTTTTTGTTAGATAGCTTATTCAGATTGTGGGTTGTGGAAAAATAAGAATAACAATGTCTTTTGATTGGACAAAATTTGGTAAGAGAGTCGATTTACGACAAAGTTTAAAGGAATGTTAATTTTCTTTTCAAACAAAAGGGGGCTTTTCAAACAATATGTTCAATATGTCTGGTTTCTTATGAATGTTCCGTTTAAAATCCCCAAATCAATAGGCCTACTGCATTATTTTTTCTCCGCATCTAGACTCCACCTAAGTAACTTCAAGTAGTCTAATGCTTTACAATTATTGTTTAAAGAAATCGTTAAACATATCACGTTAAACATATCACGTTAAACATGTCACGTTAAACATATCACGTTA